ATTATCGTCAAAAAGGCTCAATTAAACAAATCTGTCAAATTATCAAATTTAATAATTGATAATGATGTTTTCATCAAACATAACCTTCACAAAACGAAGCACTAAAAAGGCATAATTCATGAGTGATTATGATGATTTTTGTAATTTTGTCTAATGGAATTTTTTATCATGATAAAATTTGTAATAATAGCTATTTAAAAAAAAAATACCAAAACAACCTAAAATATGTAAATATAGCTTAATGGACTCGAGCAAAATAAAATGTGTTCATTAAATACCATTCATTCATGAGATAAAAATAAAATTATGTAAAATCTTTTTATCTACTGGAATATAACCCGACCACATGTATTATAGACTGAAAGCCTTGTATACATATTTTATGAAACTATTTATAAAGCAATATAATATTTATATAGTTCCATTAATTCAGCATACTCTCTCTATTTAAACACAAAATGTATTTAAGTTCCTAAAGATTTTTTTTTTCATTCAAAAACATTTGTTTTGATAATTTCATGTAATTTTTCCTCCCCATCCTCAGATCCAGCGATACTCGCATTTCAGTTTATGTATCTTTATCAAAAAACAACAAATTTTTGGCGTTGCAAAGTCATTAAATCGATTCAGAATCACATACATAGATAACGAGTGAAAATGAGAGTTCGTATGAGATCTGTGTGCTGATGAGCAAATTGAAACCCTGTGGCTGAATATTCCGCAACGAAATGAAAATAGGGTAAATAAAGGAATCATGTTGACGATAAAAGGAAGGAAAATTTTTTCAAGAGGGATAAATTTCCGCCTTTTTTTCTACAAATTGACTATCGGCTATATTCAGTCTATATATTCTACATATTAATTTTAAAAGTCACTTGCGAGAAGACATAGGAAAGGAATTTTTTTTGAACATTCCATTTTTTCTTGTTCAGTGACACTTTTTAAATTAAAGTGAAGAGTCTCACATGAGCACAAAAGTATAAAGCATATCCTTTTCTTTCATTCATGTATATATGCATGAATAAAATTGAATCTTTTTCATTTCATGTCTTCTTCTTTCGCCCTCAAAAAAAAAATTGTATTGTCATGAAGTGTAAAAAGTCAAGTCAAGAGCACTTTTGTCTGATTTTCTGTGAATGCAAAAAAAATGACAATGTAGACCAGAGGCAATACTTTCTATAAACGATATAGGAAAATGAAAATAAATGGAGTAAATGAATTATGTTCTGTTATCTCCAACAGTTGATGATCAAATAAAATTCATTTGTAGATGTTTTTTTTTTCAAATAAAGGAATTGGAAATTCAATGATCCTTTGTGATGGAGTTAAGCAATTCAATATTAGCACCTTTAAAAAGTGTGTAGGATGCAGGTTATGATTCGATTACTAACCTTTTTCTATGACTTTTCGCAATTGCAAATATGCTGTGAGCTACAGCTTATAATATGATCTTAACTCCATAACAATGCCCTAATGGATATGAATAGATCCTGATTCAAAGAGTCTCAAACATTGAATTGCAGGATTTCATGCAAGAGATACAAGCATAAAACACTAGTCTAAAATTCTCCCCTAAATGATGGCTGATGTGACTCTAAAAGAACTAAGCTATCGAACCATGTGAAAGCCGATTTTCATAAAAAAATTTACACAGCCACGTGGATAAGCAACTGACTTGGAATCTGCAATATTTTTAAAGATTTTCTAATTACATAAAATACTAATTGCATCCACTGAAATGATTTTAAACCATGCCACGTGTATCGTGTGGCTACAAAGAGATTTTGTTTATTTGCTAATCATTCTTTATTGCAAATTAAAGCAAAAGCAAAAATGTTCATTTAGACAAATTGCTTTTACGTCTGCAACACAGGTGAATGTGTATATTAATGCACAACCTTTATAGCAGCAATAGAAATCATTCAATTTATATTAAATTAAGCATGTATGCAAATGAATATGATATTATACATATGTACGTGTAAAAAGTAAGTGATAAAATCATTTTCACTCTTTTGCTTTATTATTTCAATCACGATATATAATGTGCAGCATAAAAATGAAAGGGATGAAATTGTTAATGATATCACGTATACCACACATCTTTTCTAATTCAATTTTATATTTTACGCTTATAATAGAACAGAACATACACCATTATTGTAGATGAGCGTAGGTGGATGACATTGTGTCACAATTCGCAAGTCAGACTGCATGAATTGCTCCCCGCAATATATAATAAGAAAAAAAGAATCACATTGAATAGCGAGAAGGGAAAAGACGCGCGGCACCACGCGAAAGTAATTTGAAAATTGAATTTAAATTGTGTGGAAAATGGTGAAAAGGCATGTTTTTATAAAATTAATTTAATATCTTCCTCCTATCTTTTTTTTATATGCTCGTTCGAATAAATCGCACATATACACGTCGTCTCTCTTTCCTACCATAATTCCTTATAATGCTCAACATAAATTTTTTATTTGTTTCAAATGAAATGAAAATTCAACTTGAGGATATAATATTATTTTAATGTGAACATGCATAATTACACTTGCCTCTTAATTTAAGCTCATTGGAAGGGGCTGGAACAGGAAAACTCTTATTGATTTTTTGTGATTCTTATTCATGATTATAATGTGCTTTATAAATTGTCTTATTCATGGAGATTCCAAATACCCTCCTTTAAAAAAGTTGTCTTTAATAATCATAATAATAATAATGTGTGAAGAGCCCAGCCTTTCAGCTGGAGGCACTGCGATTCAAAATTAGAACAGAACCACACCCTTTAGACCTACAATTAATAGTAGGATCCGAACCACTTGCAAGCTCTGCACATTGCAAAGACACAAGTACGTCATAAGACCTGTTGTACCCTGCAATGTACCTAGTCACAATTCGTGTGCGCAAGATGCCGTAATGATTTCATCCAGATGCTAGTATATCCTAGTATACCCAGCAAAGGAGGCATATTCTATGCCAAAGACATCAATACTACACCCATCACACGAACCGAGCTTCATAACTAGAACGGTGAAATGGAAAAAGAGCTTCGAAAATTAGACATTGCCTGGGATTGAAACCAGGACCTTTGGCACAGAAGGCCAACGCTATACCATTTAGGCTACTGATGCCATTTAACCACTTAAGCATAATCATACTCAAACTCCATTTTTGAACTGATTTACTCAGGCTATGGCTCTACTTAGACACACATAGATTATAAAAGGCCTTAATTTGAAAAGTTCGATGATAATTTTCTTTGAATAATAATCAATAGGCTGGCTCTGTAAAAACCGGTGAGTACCATCGCCTTTAAACCACCAACCACTAATAGAATCGATAAGCCAAACCAAAAAAGAATAAAGAGGAAATGTCACAAAAAAGAAAAAGAGCATAACTTGTGGTTTGATGGATTTTAAAAATGCAGTACAAAAGTTATTGTATTATAACTATCAGTGCACAAATGATGCTCTGTTTTTCTCTACATAATACCACATATGTTTAATAATATATTATCAAGAAAATATAAATTTGTGGTAAGGAAAATCGATTTGTGATAAATAATTTATGTGCTTTTTTATTACGTTGAATTTATATTTGTTGTTTGCAATGCTTTTTATTATTACAACGTTTTTCCTAACTTGCTTTCTTATCTGTTTGATTGATTGATTGTCGAGGGAAAATCTTTTAATCGATTTTACGACCACTTCTACTGCTCTAATCGAGCTTAAATTTTTTACGCACACGTATTCCCGATGACATTACAATATTATAGCACTTTAGAACCACAAAAATTCTAATTTAAGTACAATTTAAAAAAAAACCTTTTTATTTGGGAAAATAATCCAATACCGATGATGTAAAATTTTGATTTGTATAAAAAATTAAATTTGTAATGCTCAAAATTCATTTATATGATTTACGATGGGGGGTAAAATCCCCGAAAGATATTAATTCCACGATCCTGTGGGACAATACCTTCGAAAATCGCAAATTTTTAAATGTTCCCTGCGTGATAATATTCCTACTTTGAAATACACGTGGAATTATTATCCTTTCGGGAAGTGCCTTGCTAGTCGAATAGGTAACGCGCTTGGCTCAAATTTGGGATGGTAACTCGAAGGTCGTCGGTTCGAATCCAGCCATTTCCAAATTTGTTCTTTTTCAGAAGTTTAGATACTTTGACTGCTTAATGTACGAGATCAAGCCATAATTGGGCATATTGGGCAACGTTGGATTAAGGAACGGATCAGGAACTTTAAGTGTAGCGGGAGAAATAGGAACGAGAGCTACAAGATTACCTTATATTGTCAGAACGGACCTGAAATGTATCAAGTCACGCCCACAGAAGATTGAAACGAGAGCCTGAATTTAGTCGACAAATAAATAATAATAATAAGATAATAATCCCACCTATAATTACAAGTGGAAAAACATGTTTTACTAACAAGTTTTTTTTTATAAAGTATTTAAAGAATAATTTTTCTGTTAATAAAGTAATATGACTAAACTTACTTTTGAGTATGCTTATCAAATAGTGGAATGAATAATAATTAAACTGTAATACAATGAGAACTAATATGATGCTGTAGCTCGATTATTACAGACCCGAATGGCACAAATCGAAGTGCTGGATTTTATTCGAAGCCAACACCATAGCAGAGTCATTCCGGCTTGGCACCAGATTTATAATCGATTAACCGACTTGTGACATTCGGGAGATTCTTTTTAAAGTCCTTTAATTTTTGTTGAAATTACTTTAATGATGTTTTTCAGCTTAACTCATCAGGCAGGAGCGTAGCTAAGAAACAAAGCTTCATACTATAAACATTTTTGGACATTCTATTGAAAATTTCTGACTCCACCCCAGACTTCGAGAATAGTTTTATCATAGAATAGTCATTCAGACTAATCTATGATGATGTTTTTTTTCACTTGCTGAGTGCTACATACTCAGTTTCAATAGTGATTTTGAAGTGACAAGTCAAAAAATTAATAAAATGAGTAAACTTTTACAAAATATGCCGTTGCCATCTACACCTCAATTCCTGCCACCTTTACCAAAAACATTGCCACCAATTCATCAAAACCAGTCAGCATTTGCTAATCCTATGCCACCTTTAAATAATTCCATTGGGATGTTGCCAGGTAACTATGAAGTAGGTCTTCGGTATTCATCATTGCTTAAAACTATAGTCTGCCGAAGGAATCAAATTCATATCGAAGATCTTCATCGCATCAAATTTTTAATTCAATTCATAAAAATTGATATTTTGCAGTAAGTACGATAATTATGGTCGATACAAAGCTCAAAAGATATCCAATTGTCATGAATTGCCCATTTTGTAAAGAAGTAATCAAAACTAGCGTCAAGAAAGTTCATCCATGCTGGGACTTTTTCTGTTGTTGTTTCTGCTTTGGGATGAGATGCAAGAAAAGACACCAGTAAGAACAATTTGATTCTGTAAATTTATATTTAACGCATTTTCTTTTAATTTAAGTCTCTGCAGCAAATGTAAAAATTATCTTGGAACTTATGATGGGTTTTTGTGATTAATTCCAGAAATTGGAGAGTTGAAGAAGTTTTATTACTCATCAAATTTTTTTTTTATTTTTTATGGAATGTCACTAAGTCTAGCATGTATTATAGCTAGCTAGTTTTAATGGAAATTTGTTGTTGATTCATTGAACTGAGAATAAACAGTTTGAAATTCACAAATTTTTAAAATGTAAAATTCTATTTTAAAAAATGCTTTAGGATTGGGATATAAAAATTTATCAAATATAATCTGAAAATTTAAAACCAAATTCTTTGCAACCCAAAAGAAAAGTTATTTTCTAGTTTTTAAGTTCACACGAAAAACGTAGTTTTTTAAAAGTTTTTTTTTCTCTTCCTTTCGTTGCCTTTCATACGTTCCATTATTCGTGTTATTCTTCGTTGCATCCGCTTATTCGTAAAGGAAATTTATTTTTCCTTTGAGCTATTAACTTTATGCTTTGTTGGCTTATCAAATGCTCCAGACAAAATAAAAATGATAATGCGAATCATTTCGTTGCTTTAAACTTTATTTACGTAAGTAATGCTCATTTTCTGTATCATGACTTTCCGTGAAATTGATTAACTTTACTTTATGTCCTTTATCACAGACAAGTCAATAAATTTTTTTTAAGGAAGGACTTTAAAGGATCAATAAACTTCAAACATTAAAAAAAACTGGAACTCGATTGGGATTTAAGCTACAGCTCTTCAACAGATCTCATAAATAATAATCAAATAATCAACAGTGGAAGGATACTCTTTTTTCAGCAGGCATTAAATTTTATTATGAAAATAAAATAAAAAATCGTTGGAAATAAGCTGATAAAAGCGTTATAAAAATGGATCATAAATTTTTTTTTTCCAAATTGTTTGGCCTGCCCCAGATTTGCTTCCAACTCTTTATTTTTTATGAGGTTTAAGTTGTGCCATAATGCTCCTTTTTATTATTTTCTATGCGATAAACAGAATCCGAATGAGGCTACTTCAAAGGAATGGAATTGAATTGCCGGATTAGCTTTTATGAGGAGTGAAAAAAAGAAGAATTTAAATTCTATTAAGCATCATTATAAATAATTAAGAACTTCCTCAATCATCATTTATGGATTTTGGAGTAATGCCAATGCATTTTTTTTCAATGATTTTTTTTTTTGTTGACACGGCAATTTTGTTTTCCTTAAATATGAACATAATCCGCTCAATTCTATTTACCACCCACATTTCCAATCACCCTAGTCATTCTTGCTCTCAATTCATAATTTTCTCTCATCAATACTCTCTTTATAGGGGAAATAGCTGCTTATGTATCATCATCTAAATGCATTTCCCCTCATGACAATTCTCACTCATTTTCATATTTTTTATGAGAGCTAAAGGAATATTTTATCTTGAATCTAAGCCACATGTTGTGTGATGAACATTTCTCTTTGTGAATTTTTAAGGTATTTATTTCATGTGGTCAAATTGTTTTCATTATGTGTCTGCGTTTTTTTCTTCAAATACCTAAGATTTACTTTAAAAGTGCTATTCCTAATTCAAAACTATTCTCAATATTAAAATTGTAGCTAAGTAGAATTCTCTCTCATATTACAAACTACAACGAAGCTATTTAATGCACCGCCAGCAAATCAATTGAATCAATTTTCTGTCATGCTTGAGGAACTTCTGAAATAGTTTAGTTCAATTAATGAGGAAAATACACAAGTTTTTCTTTTCAGGAGTCACCATTATAATAGTAATATATATCTTCTTTTTTTATTGTTATTCCTTTTTTCTTGAAGTATTTGCACACATTTTTTTTACAACAACAAACATAGCAACAATAAATCCATCAATCCAACGGACCGATTTCGTACATTTTTTATTTTTCTTTACACACATTTAAATTGACAATTAGGAGGAACTGCTGGTGTCCTCATTTTCATTATTGTTATCCGGATTCTGGTTATTATTGCGATTATATGAGTGAAGGCAAGCAAGCATTCTGATCATAAAGGATGCAGGAACTGTAATAGTGTCTCGGGTCTCTTCTAGCATTAATTTATTTCTTCTCATAATCTACATAAAGGAAATGACAAAAAAATAGAAGTTTATGTTGGGGAATAGCTCTATATCCAAACTACATCATTATAACTTACATCACGAGCTTGTTTATCATCAAATTCAGTGTCATCACCAAAAGGTGCCCAAATCTTAACATTATGATCAATTCCAGAGGATGCTAAAATTGGCAAGTAGGGATGTGGTTGAATACAATTTACTACATGGTTGTCAGCACGTAGTAAATTAATAAGCTCCCCACTCTTTCGTTCCCAAATGAATATATGGCCACAATCAGACCCCGATAGTATCTGTGGATAAAAACATCAGAACTCGTTTGCAGATATTAAGTAAAAAAAATTTATACATACATAGTCATCACCCCAAAAGTTTGCTTCCTTTATCATTGTACGTGCATTACGATGTCCAACAAATTTCTGTTTAACATAATTAAATTTATCTCCAGCAATTGATTCATCTTCACTGCTATAATTAGAACTGCTTGAAGAATCGTCTGGATTTGATGCATCGTTATTATTATTTGAATTACTTGATGCTCCACCTTCTGTATCATTATCATGATCATTTGCAAGAAGCATTGAAATGCCTTCAGCAACACCACTACGATTTCGTTGATTTCTTGATGAGTTGTCATTAAGCATACGTGATAAAAGGCCTGTCATTCGGTTCATAATACTTGAATTTAATTGAGGCCTTGATTGACCACTTGCTTCACTGCTTGGCAAAGAATCAGGACCTGTATCACTCCAATCACCTCTCAATCGTAATTTTCTAAGAATTCTTGGCGATTCTCGACATCGTCTACGTCTTGTATTTGTTGGTAGCAATTCTTTGGCTACCCCATCTCGAGTCATATCGAAGAGATATAAATATTCTGAACTGTAACTTACCAACAATTCTTTCTCGTCTTTACTATAATTAATAGATGTAATTCTATATGTTCTTTTTTGTTCATTTGGTATCTTATAGATTTTTACAGGGTCAGTTTGCATTTCATTACTTAAGGAACTGAGTGAAGGTGGCTGTGTACCTTCAGTTACTGTAGGAAATTCGACTAGTTTTAAGAATCGTCTGTCATAAACACGAATTAAGCTATCAGAGCATCCGATACTTAAATAATTATGAGATATTGGCGAACAGCTCATAGCTGTGACACTTGCTTGCGTCAATATGAGAATATTCTCGCGACAAAATTGCTTGTGACATTTCGACACAAGGCGCATATCAAAATATCGTACTGACCCATCCTCACCACAACTTAAGAAGCTGTTAAATTCACTCGGTATTGTCATGACTTCATAGCAAGTTCCAGAATGACAGTTGAAATAATTTGCATCTTGATTGGATGCTCTATAATTTCCACCAATTAATGTATCCGAGGAATCCGATTCCTTCGTAAAGTTTATATCGTTCAAGTCATTGTACAACACCGATCCTGATCCAGAGCATGAAACTATCCGTGTGTCACTTTGAGGTAAAAATTTAGCTGAGAAAATGTTGTTCCTATGAAAAGTAGTGTACTTAATTAAGACTTTCGAGGAGAATGGATCTGTTAATACAAGCTTCTGATCATCACTTCCACTTAATATTTTTGTTCCACTATGATTCCAACATATTGAATTAACACAGCCTTTATGAATATCAAGAGTCTTTTCCAACTTTAAGGATTGAGTCAACACTAACGAATCTGTAAATAGTATTAATTTATTTTCTTTCTTTTCTATTTCTTTGAGACGTTTCATAATCGGTTTTATCTATTATCGTCTTGCCTGCCTTGATACGTAATTAGATCATACGAATGTGATTGGGAACCGACTAATTTTATCACCTAATTAGTTGATTGTGTATGTATGATAAGTACTTACTTTTTGACGATTTCTGTATCTTCCTAAAATTTTCATATCCATAATTTTCTCTATTTAGAACCTCACGAAAGAGGTTTTTATTACTACTATGCTTCATACTATCACACTTTTATGCACAACTTATATCCTAATGTAATTAATCACTGTAACTGCATTTAACATTGTTAAATTTATTTTTTTTAAATTTTCATTCCTGTGCTGAATTTTTGTAAGAATTAGCTTAATTTTTAAACATTTTTTCCTTGTTTATTTTGCTCAAATATGTCCGACTGTATATAAGTTTTTCGAAATTTTCTAGTAACTGAAAAACCATAAACTTGTCTTTATCACATTTAATTTCATTAATATACTTTGTGTACGAATTGTAAACATGATGCGTTCCTCTTGTTTATTTAGTGATAAGACTTTGATTTATCTTTAATTTCCTTATTCCTACTTAAATCTTCAAATTCTTTATTTTACTTCCTAATATTCATTTATTATTTGTAGTCATCACATTGCACAAATAACGATTTAATTAAACTATGAAAGCAGCAATTGATGTTTAAATCGTTAAAATTAATTATTGGATAGTAACGTATTTGAAAAATTTGAATCTTTAAATTTGCGTAAAGGGATAGTCGATTTTCATAGAAATTTAATAATTTTCGTTTTTCATCAAATTTTCTTTAATATAGAGGTAATAATTGAAATTAAAGCAGTATTACAGTGTCATAGATAGTTAATTTAATACCATCTTATGAAGGATGGCGAATTTTCCGGATATAAAGCAGGTAAAATTGAATTTTAACATAAATCGATAATTTTTTCTCTTGAAAATCGATTTTTTAAAAATTTTCATTAATAGATTGCTGGCAAACACATTGACATTTATGAAGCATATTATAGAGCTGTTGATCCAAAGGGCACTAATCAAATAGGTGCACTAGAAGCTGCTGGCTTTCTAAAGAAATCTGGTCTTTCGGATGTTGTGTTATCAAGAGTAAGTTTTTACATTCATTCATTCACTTACTCATTCTTATCATATGGAACTAGCTAAATAATGATATAACTGTGTTTTTTTCATTTCTGGAATTTTTAAGGTGTGGGATCTTTCTGATCCAAATGCAAGGGGATATTTTGATAAATCATCATTGTTCGTGTCCTTAAAATTAGTATCATTAGCTCAAGCTGGCGAGCAAATTAATATAAAAAATCTACTTATGGAAACAAATGCACCAAGATGTGGGGATGTTCCAAAAATGAAGCCACCACCTGTTCCAAAAATGACAAATGTTCCACCGCATCATCTTCGTCAAACGCCTCCAATTAATAATACCGATTGGACAGTTAAGCCTGACGAAAGAGCTAAATATCAGCAATTATTTATTTCACTTCAGCCTGAAAGTGGTATTTTACCGGGAAATAAAGTGAAAGGAGTTTTGATGAACTCAAAATTACCGATTGATACGCTCAGTACAATTTGGGAATTAGCTGATCAAGATAAGGACGGAAGCCTTGATGAACATGAATTTATTGTGGTATGTATTTCGTAATCAATAAGCTAGTTATTTAACCATTGATAAATGTAATTAGAGTACAGATGATAAATATTCAATCATTTTTTATAGGCAATGCATCTTGTTTACAAAGCACTCGATAGTAGAGCAATTCCTTCATCGTTACCAAAAGAATTACAAAAACCTAAATTACAACAACCAGTTGATGATTTTGGAGGTGGTGAATTTATTGCAAACTTTCCAACTGATATCGTTCCAGTTGCTCCTGTCATTCCACCGTCTAGGCCTCCACCAGCAAATATTCCACCACCATCTATTCAAGCAGTTCCACTTATTCCAGCCGTACCAAGCAATGCATCTGTTACAATGCACGGTGACTGGATTTTAACAACTATCGAAAAGTTAAAGTATCAAGAAGTGTTTGAAAAGAGCGACTTGGATAAAGATGGTTTAGTGTCAGGAATGGAAATTAAAGATATATTCTTAAAATCAGGCCTTCCTCAAAATCTCCTCGCTCATATTTGGGCTTTATGCGATACTCATCAAACTGGAAAGTTAAATAATGAACAATTTGCTCTCGCTATGTGGCTTATTGATCGCAAGAAGAAGGGAATTGATCCACCACAAGTTTTAGCTTCTGAAATGATTCCACCAAGCATGCGTCCAAATGCAGCTCCTGCTCAGGTATACTTGCTATTTTCCATTCTCATTCCAATCTAATTATGTGCTTCTGTAGCCCCAAAAACCAATTTTTACGAACCCCGAACTGGAGATGATTTCAAAGGAAATTGAGGAACTTACGAAAGAGCGTCATGCCATCGAAGCTGAAGTTGCTCAAAAGGAAGCTGACATTCGAATTAAAACTGGAGAAATGCGCAGTTTACAGGTTTGTCAAGGACTATACAATAAGCTTCTCATTATTATCATTGGAATCTTTATTTTGCAGAGTGAATTAGACACTTTAGTGGCGACCTTAAAGCAACTGGAAACTCAACGAGGTGAAGCTCAGAAGCGTCTCGATGACTTACAAGCTCAGGTATAAGAAAATAACAATTGTCTGCATGCTAATTTGCTTGATTTTCGTTTCTTTATAATTTCCATTAATCCTTGTGAAAATTTGATATCCATGACTTAATTTTGGACATTGATATGATTTAAAAGCAAATTCAAATCGACGAAGTAATGATGATTGCAAGACGACAGGTTCGTGTAAAGGACAAAGAATATAATTTTTGTGAAGCTAATTATTTGTCCTTGTCAGTTAATAAGATAATAGAGGAGTAATGTTGTGAACGTTAAAATCATGTCGTTTTGTCCTAAATTTATTGAGAAGTTTAGCTATTGATCAATATGATTATTATAATTATTATTCTCTTGTTGTAGGTCAATCGACTTAAAGAACAATGTCACAAGCAAGAAGAAACTATTAAGGAACAAGAAACAGAGTTGGATTCAAGGCGTTTGGAATTACAGAAATTGAAAGAAGAAGAAAAGTCATTAGAATCTGAATATGATCAGCATTTGAAGGATAAAGAAAAGATCTCTGTTCAATTGCAAGATACTCATGTGGCTATTAGTCAAGTCCGTGCTATGTTTAATCAATTGGAAGAAGTTCAGCGTCAAATGAAAGATGCTTTAGCACTTTGTAAAGTTGCTATTGAGGAAAATAATCCTGTTATTGTTTCGGATTATTCGTTAAGTATTGAACCTGAATTCCGTGATTTTAAGAAAGTTTTGAAATCGCCAGAAGCAGAAAAACCGAGAGATGGTAAATTTAATTAACATTTAATTATTAAAGCTTAGCTAATATTTAATTTTCTTATCAAGCATTTGGAGACGAATCAAGTTTCAATGATCCATTCAAGCCAACATCGACTATGGCTGCATCGTCTGGATTTGATGATAGTTTTGACAACAAAACTACTGGATTTGGTGATGATGATTCATTTGGCAACAAATGGAATGATCCATTTACATCACAGCCTACCCATAGTGATCCATTTGCTAGCAACGAGCCAGCTCCTAAAGAAGTAATCCAACGGATACTTTATATTTAAAATTTATGATTCAAAAATTTTTTTTTTTATTTTAGACTGTTAAAGATGATTTCGATAGTGATCCATTCGCTATGCTTCATGCACCGCCAAAAGGATCAAAAGCTCCAGAATCGCCATCACCAGCATTACCACCGAAACAAGCTAAAAAGCCACCTCCTAGACCAGCTCCCCCTCGTCCAGCACTGCCTAAAGCATCGAATGATGGGTTCGGTTCTGGATTTGCTAATTTTGACGACTTTGACATGAAAGTAAGTAACGATTTCTATTTCTTGCACATTCAAACATTATTTTTCCTTAACATTTCATTATAATTTTTAATTCACATTCACGTGCACAATTATTTTTTATATCGACCATTAATTGTTATTATGATTCCATTGCTAATTCATTATCATTTATGTATGTCAAAATCGTATAAGTTCCGTTAGTAATTTTAGAAACCATTATGTTTGATTTGTACCTTATTATTGTTGCTTTAACAAAAGCCTTTCTTTTTAAAAATGAATATCTTGAGATTTTTTTATTGTATTGAGATCTTTCTCTTTGGGTATATTTTCAGTAAATTATCTAACTTTTCAACTAACCCTATGATGGACAATGTACCAGAGATTATAATAGATAATTAGAGGAAAAATTAACATTACTAATGATTATTGTACTTGTTGATGAGACATAAAACTATCAAATATAGTTTAATTAATAATTTATTTTGAAATTAAAGAAAAAAGAAAGCGGAAATGAAGATGAATTATGAGAGTATTTTATTGATTGTTAATCTACCATAAACCAACTTATTTTCTCATTATATATCATGGTTTATTTGATATTTTATGCTAATTATAATTTATCTTATCTTGGTGTTGGCAACTTTAAATCACAAATAGCTTAAAAACATAACGAGACAAAAAATAATATAAAGATAAAGAGTTATAAGAAATTTACTCCATATTAATCACATTTCATAAATATACGCTTATTCACAAATTCATTAAACTTTTCTTTCATTATGATTAGAAAAGCACTATTAGCTCTGAGTGACATGCATAAATGCATTTTTAAATGATTTGCAGATACTGGGGGTCCTCGATTTGAGTAGATTCTATTTGAGTAGATTCGATTTGAACAGAAAATTTATTACCCACCAAAATATTCGATTTGAGTAGATTTCTTCCTGTTTTCTTCGATTTGAATTGTTTACAAAACAAATATTTTTGATAAAAACATTTCAGAAAATAATTTTAAAACATAAATTTTACTGCGATAAGCGTGAACTTATCATATTGATAGAAAAATCAATACTAAAGTTACAAAATTAAAGTAAAAATTTAAAAAATCGATATAAAATCAACCGGCCTGTTTCACTAAAGTGGATTATCCTCGATTTCGGATTATCCATTTCAGTTTTTTGTAAATATCTTAAACTTTATGGGAGGTGTGGTATTTCTAATTTTGGATTATAAAAGAGTAAAGTATGCCTGAAATTTCTGTACACTTTAAAATTTTAATTTTCATTAAGAAGTATTAATTATTCAATTTTCTAGCCAAATCTAGAAGATTAATTTCAATTTTGCTATAATTCTCAAACTAATGAAGATATAAAAATTCTAAGTATATGTTAATTTAAGCAGCAAAGTACTTTAAGGAGATCACACTTTAGATCTCTTAATAACCTTAAGCGTCTGGAGATATTTCTGAAAAACTGAAGTGGATAATCCGAAATCGAGGATAACCCACTTTAGTGAAACATGCCGAACGATTTTAAAAAGTTCAAATTCAAAAACCTTACAAATTGTTCAGTGAAATAACATTTGCAAGGTTCTCATATTTTTGTTTTGTTTCAAAAACATTTTTTTTGTGAATTTCCGTTTAAAAACAATATGAATATGCGTTGAAATAAATTAAGTTATCTAAAACACAAAGGAAAAGTTAAGAAACGAGGTAAAATGTGCAAAAAATGATCAAAATTTTCATTGTTTTGATACATTTTTTGGACTCAGGAACAAAACATGTAATTTTGTATGGATTCTTTGCCTCGATTTGAATAGATTCGATTTGAGTAGAAATTTTTTGGAACAAAACAACTACTCAAATCGAGGACCCCCAGTAATGTTGAATATTTAACGGTTTAATAAAATTTCAAAATTTTAAATTGTCATGCAATGAAGTTGGCTGCAAATGGTTTAAAAATTGAATTATGCTGTTTAAAAAAATCAATGACAGTTGTAATGATTTTATCGCTCAAAAATTGTGTAAATTTGTCATTTTAAACCGGCATTAGATTTGTTTGATTCCTTCGCATAAGTGTAAATTTTGAACCAGTTAAATTGTATTCAACGATCGTACTAAAAAGTATTACTAATCGAATCATAATCAATATATGCGGTTAATAATTATTTGTATTTATGTAGATAAATAATAATCAATAAATTAAGTCTAATATCCTAATATTCATCAGATGTTTGTGAATAAATGAATAAAAACAAACTTTGTAAAGGTTACTCAATGTCTTTCTCCCTAAAATAGGCATCTCCAATTTTAAATGAAACGCCATTTAAGGCATCGATGGAAAATATAAAAACTAAAGTTGAAAAGACCGATGATGCGAGTTCAACGACAGCATCAGATTTCCAAGAAGATCCATTCAAAAACTATCGATATGAGGATCCGTTCCTGATTGAAGATCCTTTTAAAGATCAAAATGGAAACGCTAAAGCTGCTGAGCCAGGTAAGATCTCAAGTTTTTTTCAACTGCAATGTTAAATACATTGATTACTTTCCAGTTCCAGCTGTAAATAAGTTCGATAGTTTTTTCGAAAAAGACAGTTTTGACTCGGATATGTTTGGAAAACAAGATATGCAGGACGACTTTGACAGTTTCAATAATAATAATAATAATAATAATAATAGCAATAGCAATAAAAAAGTGATTACTAACACTAACAGTAATGATAAATTTGATCCTTTTGGACTTTCTGTAAGCGAAACGAAGAGAGCGAAAAGTTCAACTCCAACAAACTCTTTCGGATTTGAGGCTAATTTTGCAAATTTTGATGCATTTAACAATAATAATACGACCGGATCTGATAATAGTTTTAACGATGATGCTTGGGGAGAAGTTAAGTCTACAAACAAGACGAAAAAAGTCAAGGATTCCGATGCAAAGGCAAGTAAACTCACAAAGTTTACGTCCGACTACTCAGATAATTACGAAAAGGATTTAGAACAAGTTTTAAAGCGTAGCATGTTAGAGCAATAAGTTAATATTATTTTATTTTTTTATGTCAATATATCTACATGATTACTATTTATACGTATGTAAGCTTGTTGTTAACTTATGTGCATTTAAATCTCATTTAACTTCGTACTTGATATTTTTCTAAATAAAATACAGCTGAAATATGATGAAATGTGTTTCATTTAAAGGCATTATGGTTTATTTTTAATTGTGTCTTTATTTATAGAATCATATGTTAGTTTCCATTATGATTATATAATAATATTAATAGAAGTAGTAATAATAAGTAAACAGCAATGTATTTAACTTACGAAAAATGTTTTGCTTCAATCAAAATTGATAAATTTCATGTTGCACATTAAAAGTGCTCCTCAGTGTATGCTAATGACAAGCAGTTTATAATCAATCATTATCGTTTACTATATAAAAATATTCAACTTTTCAATAGCAAGATCCAGACAGATTGGACTTACGATTCTCATCTAAAAACTTTTTCAAGAAAGAAAATTCGATTTTTTGGGGGGAGAGACCTAATACTAGTTTGTATTAGGTGACTTTATCTACCAGCAAATGAACATCATAATTAATTTCATAATTTCTCCATTAAATAGTTGTATGAACTAATGTAGATTTATTCAATATCCATGCAGAACTTTCTCATTCTTATTTTTTTAATGTAATAACTTCCTCAAAAAACATTTGATGTTGCTTGATTGATGCGAAAAACAGAGAATACAATAGAAATTGATTAACGATGAAAACTCAACAAGTTTTAGGCAATGATGGATTTCTTTTTTTAAATAACAAATTTAGAATTTCTTTTTTAATGAAATGGATAAATAAAAGAACATGAAAAAACATTAACTGGAAAATAGTTGAATGGAGAGAGCATTACAAGATCATATCGAATTTTTTTTAATATTCAAGTTGATAAAAGAAGTGGAAATTTTTAAATTATGATTTTTGATTCCTCTAGAATCGCCATATTCTATTTCGGCTTGTATTGTGCTAGCTTCTGTTGAAGGAGCTCCAATCGATCAGCTTGAATAGGAAGTTGTGTTCCCTAAAAATATAACGAACATTTTTTATTTGAATTTTATGAGTGCCTATTAAAAAATCGAATTTCAAAAAATTCGAAACCTCTTTTTTTTCTTCGTATAATTTTCAACTTTTAAGAACCGTTACCTGCAACGGTTTTAAAAATTTGAAAATTAAAGCAAGAAAAAAAATTCGAATTAAGAAAAACGTAGTAAAAAATGAGGCATCATAAAAAGGTTTCGAATTTTATGAATTTCAAAAAATGTTTTTTTTATAAATTACAATAAGTCGTTAAAACTTACATCTTTCTTGGCCAAAGTCGTTAGTCTCGATTGAATTTGATTCATGTTAAGGTTTTCATCGGCAATCTTATTATCCATAATTGGCTCCTTCTCTTCATTCGTCTGTAGTTTTCCTCGAACTCGATACATGTTTAATTTATGCATCCAATAGTCTGGATTATTGGGATTTTCATTAGTCTGATTCGGGTTTGCAGAACTCTGCTCGTGTGATTGATTGTTATTCGTATTATTCTGTGAAGCCTTCTGTAATTCCGCTAATCCATCGTGTATGAACTGCTGGAAGAATGGACTACTTCCTTTTAAAAATGGCTGAATATCAAATTCTGGATGGTTTTGCTTAAATTCATTTAACTGTCGTAGCCCAACTTTTGATGTATCCTTATCGGATATTAGTTTAAATATGTTGCTGACTTGATCATGATTAGCACGACTCGTTCGATCTTGTTGTGATCGCTGTTGATGGAGCTGTGAGGCATAAGCTTGTTGATTTGAATCGTGAGATCCAGGCAAGGAACCATGTTCTTTTTTTAGTATGCGTAATACATATGTGTTGCTGTAATTAATGTAAAATAGAATTACTTTCAAAAGAAAAAAAAATAATAAGTCATGAGTAACTTACAGTTCTGAATGTCTTGGAATGTTGTTGAGATGCTGCAAGATTCCAGCTCCTTTAATTTTCGTCATATTGTGAATAATTGTCTTGATCGTTCGCATTGGTGTATCAGAAGGTCGCTGAGCCCACCAATTTGTTGGCAATGCCAGCATGAAATCATGAATTTCCATTAGAAGAGCATCATAATCTAATTCATTGACTCGTTCTGGCATTAATTTTACATTTCTCCAAATACATTTCATTAATAATTCTGTGAATTTTGGCAATGCACTTGTCGAGCATGTTTCTTTTAGGAGACGAACTAGGGCACTAAAATAACGACAGCAAAAAGTTTGAACAATTGAATCATAAATTATAAATTTCAAAAAACCGTTAAAAAATCACAAACTTACCAATTTAAATGCGTGAAATTACAACGGTCGAGGATTTTGAGGCAAATACTATTGACGACTTTCGTATACTCTTCGCCACTTCCGAGTTTCTGATCAGACATGAGACCGAGCAAGACGGCAATAATATTTTTAATGCTTGCCACACTCAAGTTTTGTCCCAATGCCTTGGATGTAAAGAAATGATAAATGCTATTAAGGAGCGGCTGATATAGCGAAAGTGCCTCGCTCAGTGAACGTTGTGATAAATGCTGTTGACAATGAAACATAAGAATAAACGAATATTATGATAGATTTACATGCAAATATCATGTGACTATTGATTTTTAGCGCATTATTACCTTAAATTGTGCCAGAACACTCTGGATGTAAATTTCCTCGTAGTCACGCAAGACTGCTTGCTTTTCTTGAGATTCAATGATATCGGACAGTTCATTTAATGAGGCATGAGCGACATACTGATCAGGATGTCCGATTCCCTTAATTATATTCAACAATTTCGTGTCATATTTCGGCAAATTTTCCATCAAATTTGTTGTTTGCGGCTCAGGCGCTGTTGATGGTCTCAATGGAGAGTAATGCTGTGGACTGGAAGCGGAATATAAAGTAATATTAGCCGAATGAGGTCTCGATGGACTTTTAGACAATAAGTGATTTAATCGATCTGCAGGATAAGTTACTCCATTGCAAGCTTTAATCTGAATTGGCTGATCAGCATAAGTTAGATCGATAGGTGAAAAGTGAGAAAGTTTAATTTGATCACTACGAGTCCAATCTTTTTCTATCTCCGCTATAACACCTGAATCTAAGCAGAATGGACCAGAGGTTGGTGCACGAGAAGTTTGTACAGATGGAGGTGTGTTTTCATAAGTCCTATTTATCCAAAAAGCATATTTTGTTTTATGAGAGAAAGAATAAGCAGCAAAGAGAGAGAGGAAGAAAAAAATAGGCAATTTTTAGTAAGGATGTCTATGTTTCAAAAATATAGAATGTGTGTTAATTTACACAAAATACACATATTATTAAATTTCACCAAATAATGTACAAAATTAAAAATATATTGAACGGAAACTCTGAGAACTTTTAACGGAAAAATGAATTTTGAACTTTTTTTTAAATACCAAAAAAGCGTTGAATCTTTTTCAAGTTTTGTGAAGTAAAGTCCCAAAAATTCCGTTGCATCTATATCCAATAACTAATTCCTCCCTCAGCACATATTGTTAATTAAAATATCAAAGTTTCTATGTGACGCATAAGGTTGTTCTAAATTAAACAGCACAGTTTATGAATATAATTTACATTTGAGGAATTTCAATAAGATTCGGCCAATCAGGTGACTTAATTTCGTGTGGAGTTGCCGTAAGATTTAAATCCTCTTGCGAATGTGCTTCATAATTATCGTCGCTGTCGTTTTTCAATTCATGAATTAAAATTAAAATGATAAATTAATTAAATTAAATTGAAAACTTACCGGTTGTGGACATTTGGATGGGATTCTTCTTCGGATGGAAGTTCCTCTTCGCCTGATAAGTCTCTACTGTCATCATCCTTTTCATTAATCGGCACACTGACAATTTCAACACTCGATTGTGACTGTTTTACTTCCGGAACTAATTTTGGACTCTTCTTGCTTCTCTTGATTCTTTCATCCAACATTGACATTTCCTTTTCGCTGAGCTGTCCTATCATCTTGTAAATTCTTTCACCAGCTAATTCGTAAGCCTTAACTATACAATTAAGTGCTGCAGAACGAACTGAATTATCACGATCACTAATTTGGCGAGCAATTTCTTTCAGTGCATGCTGTGGAGTTGGCTGACAGACAGTTAAATTGTATGTCTCAATGAGGAATCCAAGCTCATCTAAACATTCTGTACGTTGACGAGCATTTTTCGATTTAAGAGCATCCATTATGTATGAGAATACTCTGGAGAATGGATAAATTAGGCAAATTTGTCGAAGAAGATTACGAACTCCATTTCTGACGGCATCTTTTGGATCTCCAATTTTGGTCAACAAATGTGGAATAAATGAGGAACCTTCATTATCTGTCAATACATATTGAGTCTCTCTCAATGTCGTAAATACAAAATTGAGATAATCTAATCCTTTAAGTAGAACTGAAGGATTTGTGTCATAGAATCTAAGTGACAACCATTTTAGGACAAGATCTAAATTACATATTAAGCCTTGCATATTGTTAGAAAGGTCCTCAATCAATGTTTCAATAACCTTTAGATGATAACGGAAATCGTCATGAAACATATTTGCCATCAAGCCTTTATTTACGTTTGCATTAGTCATTTGTTCCTTAAGTAAATCATTAAACTCTTCTCTCGGTGTTGTAAATGTCCATCGAATGACTTTCAACTTTTGTTCGTCCAAGAAACGTTGTTGCTTTAGATTATTAACCTGGAATAATGGCGACGTGTCTACTTCTTCCTCCTTTCGTCTACTCGAAGCTGCTGCTGATCCAGGCTTTGAAATTGTTGGCTTGACAATTTTACTTCCACCAGATTTAATGATTTTCTTCTCTTCAACAACTATTGGAGCTTGTTGCTTACTTTTTGGTAATGGTTTAACTGGCAAATTAGGTCTGGCTTTATCAAGAGCTGCTTGAATATCTTTCTTTGTTGCTGGTTTCTGTTTATCCATTGCCTTCATCATTGCATCATATCCAAGATGCATCATAATGCCTAAAACACAATCGTTGGCATTTTTACGGACATCTGCATTTCGATCGATTATGTTTGCATATAAATAAGGCAGACATGAAATAAGTTCCTCTTTATTGATGCTTTTTGGTGGAATATCTGGTAGTTTTTCAGCCATCCATCCCCAAACTTCTACTTTTAGTGCTGGTGTTCCACTTTTTAAGGCATCCGCAAACATTTCTCCATCGAAAAATTCTTTATATCCACATTGATCTCCCCAAGCGTTCATGCACGTAATACATGCTGATCTTAAATAAGACTTATTATCACCAAGCCCACGTAAAACTCCAGGCAATAGGACTCGAATGTGCTGCTTACAACCTGGGCCAATACTAGTCGACAATTGAGTACAAATTTCGACGGCAGTCTGAGCAATCTTAGCATTACTGTCCACTAATCGTTGAGCCAAAATTGGAGGTAATTCACCAAGTGATGCCTTAATCAATTTATGCTCATTGATGATTGCTTGAAATTTTATTAATCCTTCATTTCTAGTCTTCCAGTTCTTATCACTCAACTCAGCTATTAAAGATTCTGTTATTAATGGTGAAATATCAACTCTTGGAATCAAGTCAGCAAGATTTGTTGGAGTTACAGGCTCATCATCATCATCATTTGCATTATTTGCTTCTGTTGAGCCTTTCATTCCATTCGATTGACCTCCTCTCGTCGATGCCGGTGCTTTTTGTCCTGAATTCTTATCAAATTCCAGTTGAATTTGTTGCTTTAAAGCTGGCTTCTCATTGTCAAAGAACATTGCGAGTGTTGGACCCATGTAAAGATGCATAGTTCCAAGTAATGTAATTGCTGCTTGTCTTACAGCCGGATTAGTACTATTAACACCTTTCTTAGCATCATCAATTAATAGCTTTGGATTAACGTGAAAGCCAAACTCACGTAGTGCTTGATTAACCCATCCAATAGATTCTTGCTGTACTTTTGGTGATTTCTGTTCAAATGCAAAAGACATGACTTTGGACACAACATATTCTAAACGAATAGTCTCAGACATTGCTGTTAATGCAGCTGCAGCTGAAGTACTGACTTTTGCATCACCTAGTTTCTCAATTATCTCATTAATAATCAAATCTGATGTCGTTACTGTCATTCCAAAACTCTCAGCAATCAATTTAATGGCATCTAGACGAAGTTTTAGAACTTGGAAATTTGTATCTTTTAAGCCTGGTTTTTTAGCTAGAACTCTAACCAATATTTGCGTGTGTCCACATTTTGAATCGAATGTTGATAATAGTTGCAGGAATGTTTCAATTGATTGAAGTCTTGTTTTCCAATTTGAATCACAAAGTCCATTAATAACATCTGGTGGCAGAATTTCTGGTGCTTGTTCGTCCACTTCTTCCTGTGATAATTCACGTTCTGTTGGCAATACATTCTTTGTACTTGCTGATTTTGAAATTCCACCAGCATTTGATGAGCTTGCTGCTGGTTTCTTAGCAAGAACTTTTTTTGGACCGACTGCTGTATTAGGTCGAGCAACAGGTTTTGGTTCCGATGATCCTCCTTTTTGTGGAACAGTTTTAACAGGTGCTGTTTGTGGACGTTCTTTCTTGGCACCAACAATTTTGACTGTAATTACTGCCTTCTCATAATATTCTTTAATCTTTTCCATTTTTAATGCATCAACTTCTGTCAAGAACGGTGAAATATTCTTTTCTGTTACTAATTTCATTGCTGTTCCTAAAGCTTCTGCTGAAGCGTCACGGACTGTTGGATCTGATTCATTTAAAGTCTTTAATAATGCCGTAACGTAAGCTTTCAAAAGCTTCTTATTCAAAACTGTCGGTTGAGTTTTTGTAAATGATCTAGCCAAAAATAATGCAGTTTCTGTCTTTACGCTTGGATTTTTATTCGCTAATGCCGCAATGACTTCTTCTTGAATTGCTTCCAAATTGGTTGCTGGATAAATTGCGTCAATAGCATCTCGAAGAGCTGCAACAACATTTGTTTTCTTTTCTTTGAATTTTTCCAAAATGCCACTAATACATGCAACTGCGTATGGCTGAAATTTTTTGCCTACTCCTTTAGCTAACAATGCAAGACACTTTCCAGCTAATGCGACCAATACAACGTTTGAATCTTTTGTTATTACTTTCTTCAGTGCTCTCACTAAATCTCCATAATCACCATTCTCTAATTTCGGATTAGTTACGAGCGGTTCCAATGCTTCAAGTGACTCTTTTCTCTCTTGCCATTTCTTTGCTTCCAATTTGTCATAGAAATCTTTTGGCAACTTTGACAAAATATCAACTGGATCTATCAAATCCATTGGATCAATATCATCATTAACTACACCTTCTCCTTCGTCATCTGTAAATAAACAATGTTAAATGATGTAGGAATAGACAATAAAATTTATATATGGCAATATTTACGTTCAATGTCCTGACTGACTTCTCCGGCTACAGCCTCGACAATTTGTTTTTGCTGTTGTGAACGAAGATATCTTGACGGGACTGCTTTTTCATTTTTAACCTTGTCAAATTCTGCTTCCAATTCATTCAAAACAACCTGTGGCAGCGATTGAATTTGTGTCTTGAAAACTGGGCCAATCCATCGGAAAATTTCTATTGTAAGCTGTTTGGCTTCATCTCGAACAGTTTTATCTCGGTCACTAAGAAGTGTGGGAATTTTCTTGACTAAAGGCTTAACATTTACAACTTTCGCACCAAACTCTCGGAGGGCAAGAAGAATCGTTGAGACACATGCTGATACAATTTTTGGATTTTTCTGATCAAATCCTTTAATGAGCTCCTCAATTACGGCTTCATGTTTCTCAATTTCAATATACATGAGTGCTATTTGCATTCCAAGATCTTTAGTTTTCATTTTCGGTGCACCTAGACATTTTGTAACAATTCCACTGATTACTTCACCAACAGTTCTCCCAGCATTTCCACAATTCTCAACAAAAACCAATGTAGCTTCAAGACCTTTTTCCTGTGCCAATGCATTACTGTCTATGACAAATTTCTTAACTAGTCCCATAAATTTGTTCCATTCTGGACCTTTTTCATCGTCTATTGTACGAAAAATTTTTGCTGCCTCTTCATATCCATCAACACGAGCTTTCCACAATTTATGAACGCAACGTTCATCCACTGGAAGCTTCTTAAATTCTGTATCGTCTTCATTCGCCATTCTCACTAATTAAGCAGTCAAAATAATCGATAATGATGCACAAATCAAATAATAAAATAATAAAGAAAGAAAATAATCGATAGGCAGAAACCAAAATCTCAATAAAGACTACTGGATCATGAAAATTTTCGTTCAGATTTTTTCTCTTGCGGCTGTCCTAAAATGATACAATAATGATGATTAATTAGAGCGATTTTAATATTTATGACTCAAATTTTTACAAGTTAAACAATAGACAAATTTATCTTAATTATACTCTTTTTTCGGGTATTGTGAACAGCTTAATGATACGTGAAATTTGAAATATGCATCGATCTTTTAAATCGAATAAATTTATCAAGATATAATCTGTTCCGCGCGCCTGTGCGAACTTGAAATGAAAAACTTTTCTCTCTCACTGGCTAAATTTCGACGTTATTTTCACATTTGTTGTTGTTTTCTCTATAAACCTTATTTCTTGACAAAATGTTGATACATACTAATGAGTCATGGACAGAGAACTTAAACGTAAATACAACGAGAGTTGGTTCTTCTAATCTTAGAAAATGCACTTTTCCTCTTCCAGATATTTTAAACTTTCTTCTTGCGACTTCGTTTACTGTCTATTTTTATCATGCATTTTCCTATTACACGAAATTGAATACCGTAGAACACAGCAAAGTAAAGCAATGAAGGAAGGAACAGAAACAACAAGAGGGTAAGAAGAACATTAAAAATTTCAGTAGAAAATGTATATTTTGCTGTGCTTAACAACTCGATTTAATTAATCTGAATAAAGACGTAGGAGTCTTACAGACTATAAACATGGTCAAGAGGAATTACTAAATAGCTTTACAGCTCACAAATAATACCTTCAAAATTACATGTAAGCAATGAGAAAAATGGTTAACGGTTTCACAAAAAAACTGATGCTCGGTTTTTTAACTTTTTCACAATGAAATGCACTAGATACTTACTTTTCTTTAATTACATTCACTAGTTCTGATCCTTAACTTTAATATTGAGCATAAAATAACTTAGATAAACAGGACTTTCTTATTTAAAATCTTAATTTTCTCTTTTCACTCAAATTTTCTTTTTATTTCTTTTTTATAAAACTATCGCAATACCCGTCAATTTCAACAAATTTTTTCAGTTTAATTCCACAATTCCACTTCGTGTTAATAAATTTTTGTGCCCAAGAAATTCAAGTGTTGTGGATGCAGTTAATTTTACTTATATACAATCTTCAATAAATTGCTGGGTCTCGTCGCAAAGAAATTATAAGTGAGTGATGATTTGTATTCCTTATTCTTACAAGTGACTTTATTTATAAATATTGAAAGTATTGTTTTTGTTCAGATCGAAGAATCAGTTTTTCGAGTTTTGTGGAGCATGATAGCTGTAATTAGCATGCAAGATAATAAGCAAGAAATCTCAATAACGTGACTTCGTAGAGATTTCTAGTTTTTTGCATTAGATTCCTGCTGCTTTATAGAAGAGCTGTATCAGACTAACGTCACGTTAAAAATTGTCAGTTGCAGAAGTTTTACCGATTTTTTTTAAATATTTTGAATCTTTTTTAACCGTTGGAAAAAAACTTTATTCAACATAATTCGAAGCTTTTAACTGTTTAGTTCTTTAAAATAAATAATCTTTGACATATTTTTAATGTTTTTGAACTGAAAATGCTTAAGTAAATGCAAGAATTGGTGATTTTAAAAATTTTCAGAACAAAAATATCAAATGTAAACAAAAGTTGTAAATGTGTTAGTGAATTTTTTCACGAATTATAAATTTGTTAATTAATTGTTAATTGAAGCTCTTTTTTCTAATGTGAACTATTTAATAGTGATGAAACATAATTAAGATTATGTTAATTTAGTTAAATCATTGTTAAAAGAAGCTTAAATCATTGATTTTGATTTTAAATTTTTTGATTTGTTTACATTTTTCTTAACGGTCAATAAAAATTCAAATTTTCGTCTCAAATTTCGAAGTTTTCGACATTGATTTCGAAGACATTTCGAATTTTTTCGAATATAAGGTGGCGTAAGTCTGAGCTGTATTGTTTTTAAGGGCAAGCTTTAAATATGTGCTGAGTGAAGCTTAGTTTATGCACGAAACTTGATCAACTCGATAATACGGTGTGAATATATTCGCATTGAGTTTCTACCTGATACACTAGTTTTTTTTGTTTGATCTTAAATGTTTCACTTATCAAGACCATAAAATTAATGCCAGGTGATTGAATTATTAAGAAATTAATTTTTGGTGTTTAAAACAAAAAGAAAAACGTTGAGGCCCTGCTAATTAGGGGAAATGATCAAGCTTCAAGTTTTACAGCTGATCATGAATTGTTCTATTAGAAACAGACATTGAAAACTATACGAATATTTTGTAGAGTAAGTTTTTGGGTAACGATTTAAATTTGAAAATAACTGAAAGTAGTAAGGGAAATAAATAATAAAGCACAGAATCATGTTTTTGGATCATGTTTTCGTTTAATTTACGTAATTATTAATGCTTACAAAAAAATTCAGGGAAACCATTAAGTTATTAAAGTAGGTAGAAAAAAGAGTGAGATAACTTGAATTTTTACCGGAGACGAATTAAAGACAGACCAAAACTGCATGAAAACCGTGAAATCCTTTCAATTTGTATTATAATTCATAATAGGAGTAGTTTGTATTTGTAATAATTAAAGGAAATTAAACACTAAATGGATTAGCTCTCCTTTAGAATAGAGAGAATCTTTTTTGAATGATTTACTTCTTATGAATCAATATTGAAGTGATTTTAGTTAATTTATTCATAGTTTTGTTGTTTTTTTTTTGTTTGTTATTTCTTTGTCTTAACTCGTTCACTTCTTGGCTTCCTCCAAATCGGGTATTTCCTCGTCGTCGCTATCCTGTTCATCGTCTAAATCATCAAATGAAGGTTTTCCATCACCACCCATCATTCCACCAGCACCGCCCATTGAACTCATTAAATCATTAAAATTTCCCATTCCACCCATTCCATCACCAAAACCGGCTCCTGCTGCTTCTGGCTGTTCCTCATCATCTGATCCTTCATCCTTCCACTTGTTAAAATCTACCTTAAGATATGGTGGCTTCTTCTTGTCATTCGTAAGAGAAGCCCAATATTCTGATTTCGTATCAGCTTTGGTAATGATAAATTCATAACATCGTCCACTGTTTTTCTGTGCGACTTTATCTGGATTAATTTTCTTTAGGAAGTTCAGAGTCACTTCATAATTTTTGTTCTCTGGTAATCCTACGGCCTTAAACAATAGCGAATCTTCTGTGATTCTAAAATCAGACACAAAAACATCAATGAAATACCATGTCTATTTTATATGTTGTTTAAATGACTTACTTAATTTCAGGATCTTTTGTTTCTATGTTGACTGTTACAAACAAGACGTCATTTCTTTGAGCCCAAGTAACTGGAGGGTGTCTATATAAAGAAAAGAGACAATGCATATAATTATTTAAATGAGTCACCTCATAGTAACATTGCACCAAAGGTCAGCATAATTTCATGATAAGCGAAAGAGGTTATATCTTTTTTTCACCAATGAATAATTGACCCTAAATCGCGATAATCCAGCAGATTACTGATAAGGAAGCATGTTGTTTAGCATATTAAAGGCATTTTAATTTCATTCATAGAATTTTCCAGAATTGATTTTTTCACTTTTGAGACGCGATTTTTTTTTAATGTAATGAATGAAAACACGCTTGAAAAAACCTTAATTTTGCGATTAATCCTTAATAAGATCAGTCGGCGTGAGCTGTTTACAGCTATTAGCTTTGCCTAATTACTTACAATATTGTTCCAGACATGATTTATCGTTATATTATGGATAATTTTAAGCCTTTTCACAAAATTTTAATCTTAATGAGCGATCGATGATTTTGACTTCCGACTTCGATGCGAGTTGAAGGAATACTAATGAATTGTTTTAAATATCTTGTGCTCACTTTATCAACTTAAAGTTTCTCAGAATATTGATAATTCAAAATGTATTACTAAAAGTTTAGAAACTATTGATATGCATAATATACTGGAATTAATTTAAAGTTTCTTAATTCTGTTGTAAGCACGGAAGTTTGCTATAAAAAGAGGGTCATGCAACTAGCTATACTTTTAAATTTTTCACAACCGTTATTCTAAACATTGACTCTCCATATCCACGAACTAATGACTATAGAAAATCCCAAATTAATCTGAAAGACGTTAGAGCTAGGACAATTTGAAATCCTGTAAAATTTGCGCCTACATTTGTACCGATTTATGTGAATGTATGTGTTTGTAGACACATTGTAGACATATTTTGTAGACAATTCATTATCGATCTTTCTCAAAAGTTACGAAACCAAACTTTTCACAATCGAAAATTGTTTGGAAATCCATCTAAATTAACTTTATTCCTGTAAATTAATTAATATAAAAGTAGTTCGAACTTTATTCTAACGTGTCACTGTATTTTAGGTGTGTTTAAGTATCGAATTAAGCTATAAAAATGTTGAGAGCCGCAGCAGGTCAATTATCACAGGTTATTCGTGGATCATTTGGAGTCACAAGAATCGCAGGCGTTCAATCCGTTCGTAATTCATCACACTCAACCGAGACAGATGTTGAGTTCGATGCTCGTTACGAAGCCTATTTCAATCGTGCAGACATTGATGCTTGGGAAGCAAGAAAGGCAATGAATGACTTACTCGGTATGGATTTAGTTCCAGAGCCAAAAATTGTTTCTGCTGGTTTAAAGGCTTGTCGTCGCCTTAACGATTATGCTCTTGCAATCAGATGGCTCGAGGGAGTTAAGGATTCATGCGGACCACACGTAAACACAATTTGGCCATGGATGGTCCAAGAAATTCGTCCAACACTCACTGAATTAGGCGTTGAAACTCCAGAAGAATTGGGATATGATCAGCCAGAACTTGCTCTCAAGTCAGTGTTTGAAATGTAAACGCATTCATCTTCAACATTCAGGGAACGAAATAGGGTGGACGATAACTTGTGAGATATATTAATAAAATTATTAACATTCTGAATGAGAGAAGTGAAAAAAAGAGAACACACAGTTATTATGTAACTTCATATATTTTTTTCGTTTGTAACAAGGACAGCACTTCAAATTGGAAAATAAAAAAAGAATTAGTGCTTAATTAGAAATAATGGATTTAAATGCATATAATTAAGCCTTTTTTTAATTCCATCAGTGTCGTAAAATTTACAGTGACGTTGGGGATAAAAATAGAAATTTTATTTGTTGTGTTCTTAGTTTATGTCATATCCATAAAATTTTTACGCCGGAATTCACATAAACCATTATCACTAGTTATTGTACCATTTATTTAAAATATCGGCAGCCTTTTGCAATGTCTCGTCTTTCTTAATGTAACAATATCTCACAAAATTCTCTCCAAGATGCTTATTTGCCTTTGTATAAAATGCAGACGGTGGAATACCTTGAAGAGAGACATTCTTAGTCATATACTTTGTGAAACGATAATCCTTATATTCGTCAGTTTCGCTGCTTAAATCAACTTTATCTTTAAGATGGCTCCAGTCAGCAATCATGAAGTAACCTGCTTCTGGAATCACTGGCTGATATCCAGTTTGTGTCAAGAATGTAGCCATAAAGTCACGTTTATCTTTCAGTTCAACGGCTAATGATTTAAAGAACGAATCACTTTCATTAAATCTCGATAATTCATACTCAAATCCAATTGCTGCTGCTTCCTGTAAAGGTGTTGCGCATGTATAGACTGAGTTTTGATGAACGAGTTGCATGTTTCTAATGAGATTGTTTGGTCCATACGTCCATCCTAATTTCCAGCCTGTTGCACTAAACGTTTTCCCGGCACTTCCAATCGTTAATGTTCGTTCCCACATGTCAGGAAGTGTACAAATTCGAATATGTTGATTTGGTTCAAACACCATATGTTCATAGACTTCGTCAGCAATCACTAAGACATTCCACTTCTTACACAAATCAGCAATCATTGTCAATTCGTCTAAATTAAAGACCTTGCCCAATGGGTTATGAGGAGTATTTAATATCAACATCTTAGTCTTATTGTTAAAAAGTTTCTCAAACTCTATTGGATCCAACTTCCAATCAGCGGAACTAATGATTCCAGACTTTGTTGGCTTCAATGGAATTGCTCGAACAACTCCGCCAGCAGACTTGATCATGTCATAATAGCAATCTAAATAAAGTTTATGCTACATTATATTATGAGTAATTAATATTCGATATGCTCACCATAGAATGGCTCAATGATGATGGCTTCATCTCCGTGATCGATATGTCCATAGATTGCATTATACAATGATTGATAAGCACCAACAGTCACGAGGATCTAAAAATAATAAAAATTCTACATCCCTGAGTCATAAATATAGGCATACAATTTTACTTCATTATTTGGATCAATTTGTCGACCTATCCACTGAGAATAAGCTTTAGATAGTGCTTGAACAAGACGTGGATGTCCAAATCCTCGAGTGTATTGATTCAACAAGTGATCTCCGTTCGCAACATCCGATAAAGCCTTAGTAACGTAAGAAGGAGGTGGATAATCAGGAAAACCTTGTCCTGTAAGAAGAAGATAATTTTTGTTAAATATGTTCTCAACATGTCAACTAAACGAATGTACCTAAATTAAGAGGCTTGTACTTCAAAGCAAGTGCTACATATTCAACCCTGTAAAAAAATGTTAATTCGCAATATGTTTCAATCAGGAAGTGAATATAAATGAGCTTACTTACCAGACACTTTCTGTTGCTTCTTGATATCTTTTTGGCAAGCCAAATTTCTCACTTCCACTAGATGAAGCCATGAGTCTTTGTGATAATATACAGGATCTGGAAATATGTTGACAAAATCTAATTTGATTTAAAGCTCTTTGTAACATCTAAAAGAATTAAAAGTTTACATTGAGAGATAAAATTGATTATACTCTTAATACAAAGGCTTACGATTGGCTTATCAAGAGAATATACAATAGGTACTTGTTAAATAGTAGTAATAAAGAAGAAAATGCAATTAATGAAAAGCGTAGTTTGATAACAAATAGACAGTAAGAATATGATTGTACAGTGAAGACTTACAAAAGCAGGAAATACAGAACATTCAGCATGATACAGATTAATTTTACTTACTTACTGTCTTCGATCAAGTTTAATATACTACTAAACGTTTTCAAGGAGCTCAAGTAGTTATGAAATATAGCTCTTAACAAGACCGGTCTGCAATTGATTTAACAAAAAACTTAAAATTAATGAAAGTGACACGAACACTTGTTGGACGACTTTTGTTGTACTTATATGAATCAAACTATGCAGTATCCATAACCTTTGTCAAACTTTAAATCTTTTACGTGTTCGAGCTTTTCTAATGTCATGTAACGATTTTTAACGTTATTGACGAACTGATCTACACATCAGGGGACACAACTCGTGTCTTAAAAACATACTTTTCTAATTTAAGGTTCGATTTTCAGCTAGGAACTCTAATTTTTGATTAACATACCTGAACATACCTACTTCAATTTTATACCGTTTTTAATAGCATTCCGAGTATCAAACCCTGGATAACATGTGCTTATATTTACATTCACAACATTCAATATTTTCGAGTAATTGAGCTTAATTAAAGTGTAAATCATGCAGAAAATAGCAAATAAAGTGAGACGAAAGAAAGTAAGTCTCGAGGCTATTGAAAAGACAGGAAATTTTAAAGTGAAATCATATAAAGTGCTGATAAAAACTGGAAAGTCAAATTTAAGTCATGTAAAGTTACCTGGAGTTAAAGATTTTTGGAATGTTGAGGAACTGACAAAGAATGGCAAGAAGGAAAATGAAGATCCAAAAAAAAGCTCAACTAAAAAGTCTACACAGAGACTTACTGGATCTGAAAGATATCAAAGATACATGGATGAAGAAGAAAGAATCAGGAAAATTGAAGAGGAAATGACAGATCCAAATTTAGAGCCACATACACCAGATCAATTTGAAAGATCATTACTAAATGATAGAAATAGTAGTTTGATGTGGATTAAATATATGGCATTTCATTTAGAAACAGCAGAGGTGGATAAAGCAAGAGCAATCGCAAAGAAAGCCATAGCATCTATCAATTTTAGAGAAGAACAGGAACGATTGAATGTCTGGATTGCACTTTTAAATCTTGAGCTTCGATATGGAACAGATGAAAGCTACAATGAAGTATTGAGTGAAGCTACTCAGCGAAATGACTCATTTAGAGTATATTCACAGACACTAAAAATTTTGCTTGATCTAGACAAACTAATTGATGCCAACAAAATCATAGAAATATTAAAGAAGAAATACAAGCATCTTCCAGATATGTGGCTCCTCGTCAGTGAATCATACTTAAGAATTAATAATGAAAAGCTTGCAAAGGAAATGCTTCCAAAATCATTACTTAGTCTTAAGGAAAAGGATCGTAAGGACTTATTTTCTATGTTTCATGATTGTATATTAATTGTTTCTGTTTCATTTTAGATCTGGAATATATGACGAAGTTTGCTTTAATGATGAGCAGGCATAACATCCACGACTTCTCCCAGACTATTTTCGAGAAAATCCTTTCAACCTATTCGAAAAATTTATCAATTTGGTTCACATACATCGACATGATGACAAAAAATGGAGACATAGAGATTGCAAGATCACTGTTTGAGCGCATGCTGGTACATAAATTTCCTCTTAAGAAGCTTAAAAGCATTTTCCAGAAATATATTGAATTTGAGACCAAACATGGTGATAATGCTAATCTATCGAAAATCAAGAAAATGGCTAAAAGTATGCTGGAAAAGCATGAAGACGAATAAATTTTATGTTGAGCATTAAATCAATGTAAATGTTTTAATTTTGAGTTTCAGAACCTTTCAAATGTTTCATTGTTATCCCAAGATTTTTACAGTACGAGTTGTTTACATTAATTTGCCGAAAGATTTTTTTAATTGATTTAACAAGGAATAAGCAATGAATTTACTTCCAAAAACCTCTGAAGAGTTTGCTACGAAGGAGTACTGGAACAAGTTCTTTCAGAAGAGAGGAAAACTAGCGTTTGATTGGTAAAACTATTAAATTTATTTTAAATTTTTGTCACATTGTTTTTTAAACTTTTTAGGTATGGAGAGGTATGTTCACTTTAAACCATCATTTAATGCTGAGATTTATATTAATTCAAACTTTTTAGTTTCCAGAATTATGTGGAGCTTTATCGAAATACATCAAAACTAAGGATAAAATCTTGAATGTAAGCCTTTAACCTCCTATTTATGCTGCAAACAACTAATCAAACAACTTAATTATTCTAGGTAGGATGTGGTAATTCAAAGTTGTCAGTTGATATGTTCAAAACTGGATATAGTACAATCACTAATATTGATATATCGGAAGTTGTTATCGAGCAAATGAAGAAAACTCACAGAAATATTGGCGAATGGATTCAAATGGATGCTACAAAAATGACATTTGACGATGAAAGCTATTCAGTTATTCTCGATAAAGGTACACTGGATGCAATGATGAGTGAGGAGTCTGAATCTGAAATGGCGTTGAATTATTTCAATGAAGTTAAAAGAGTTTTAAAGAATGGTGGACGATTTGTGATAATTTCGTTGCTTCAATCTCACATCCTAGAAACTTTACTCAGCTACTTTCCGTCAAACAACTTTCTATTCAGAATAGTCAGATGTTTAGAAGCTGAGCAGAAGACATCTGAAACAAATGAAGATAAATCATCAATGCCAGTTTTTGTGATTGTTGCTACTAAGTTTATGAAGTTGCCAAGTCCAATTTATGAAATGTCAGGTGATGGAGAAAGTATAGAACGAATGTCTGACTCAAAAGAATTAACTGAAAGCGTATTAACCATTCAACGAACATCCATGATAAGGAATGGATTAATAAAAAAGAATGCTTATGAAGATGAAATTAAATTTGATTTATTCAGACCAAATGAAAAGACTCCACGCTTCACATTATACATATTAGACCAAAAATCATCAAGAAATTTGAAAGATTATGCTGCATTTATAGTCCCTCAAGGTCGTGAAACTGAATGGCTATTTTCAACAAAACAAGGAAGACGGAAACTTCTTGAATCAGCACAGCATTTAAGATTAGCGATTGTTATTCTTCATCGCAATCAAACTTACACATCACTAGATGATGTTAAGATAGAAATTAATGAAGCTGTAAAATCATTCGCTCCAAAAGATGTTAGAGATATGAGTAAAATTCCGTTTTTATCGCTAGGTAGTGATGTTGGATCAAGAGAAATTGTCTTTAAAGGAACAAGTAGCTTTTCTGGAGATTTTGTCGTTGAAGATGTTCAGAGTGAAAAAATGCTTTACAGACGTCTCATATTCCTTAGTAATCAGTCTGTCATTCAGTCGGAAGCTTTATTAAAAGTTGGAAAGAAGACGATCGATTATAGCTATCTATCATGTCAGCATCACATGTACATGATTCTTGGAATGTTAATAGCTCAGAATGAAAAAGATTTAAGGAACTTTGTTGTTGGTCTTGGCGGTGGTGGATTGTTGATGTATATCTATCAATATTTTCAAGAATTAAACGTCGATGTCTGCGAAATTGATCCTGACATTGTAAGAGTAGCAAAAGAACACTTTGGACTTGTAGATGACAATAATCGATTAAAAGTAATTGTTGATGACGGTTTAAAAGTAATTGAGCATTTCGATGACACAAAATTCAATTCGATTTTGTTTGATATTGACAGTAAAGATCAAAGCTTAGGCATAAGTTGTCCACCAAAAGAATTTTTAGATATCGGAATTTTAAGTGCTGTAAGAAAGTCGTTATCAGCAGGTGGAATATTTATTTTAAACTTTGTGTGTCGAGATGTATCGTTAAGAGACGGCGTTGTAAACGATTTGAAAGCAATATTTCCGTACATAATAAGCTATAAATTGGAAGAAGATGTGAATGAAATATTTTACTGCTTTAAGGAAAACGTTAAGGACATCAATGAAAAGTTTATAAAAGCTGCAAAAAAATTGAATTCGTTCAAGAAAAATTCTGTTGATCTGTATGAGCTTTTAGAGGGATTGAATATACATGCATAAAGAAAACGAAAACTAACAAGATACCTTGTTGTATGCATATCCATCCATAAAAATCTTTTTTTAAATTTCACTTTCACGCCTCTTATGGTTGATTGATGTACATATTGAAGAGTTTTACGTTTAAAATAATAAAAATTAATTGAAAGTCTCTTGCAAAGATCAGATTTCAACAAAACTTCAGGCTTTGGTTTTAATTTACGAATCAATAGATAACATCCTATCGAAGATTGTCATAACTAAAGTAAAAGCCCAATAAAGCCTTTACGAAAGCCCAACATTCATGATTGATAGCCAAGCCGAATCGGAATTGCAGCTTAAAAATTGTTTGGTTGGGGACGGAAAGTGCCAATGCAGTGACGATGAAATTCGTTGATCTCCTGTTGAGTAGACTAAATGGTAGCGCTTCTGGCAAGGTCTGCAACACCCTTAATGAGAGATGCATCACAGCATTTAATGTAACCCGGTGTATGTGCAAATTTCCCCGAAGTCCCCATAAAACGAAAATCACGGGTTTCCAAAACCACCACTTGAAAATGTATGTGGTGTTTCTGGAAAACAGTGTATTTCATAAACACCACTTATATTTCCAAGTGGTGGATAAAATCACACGTGTGTTTTTATTCACAACGTACAATTACAAGTGGAGTTTTGTCTATGGGCGTTTTGGAGATCAGTGTAATATTTTTTAAAGTTTAAAAAATTGTGAACAAAATTAGGTTTTATTCTCATTTTTAAATGCAAGTTTAATTTTTTTATTTGAATAAAATATTTTTCATGATTGAAACACAATTATAATAAAATACTTCATAAAAAAAGATTTTTAAAAAACTACGTTTTTCGCATAAACTAAAGGAAAAAATAACTTTTCTTCTTGTTATATTCGCACCATTTTCAAACTTTGCATAAATATTCTAGTGCTTAAAACAAATACAAATAAAACATCCTAAAATTTTTTTGAGCAAAGAACCATGAAGGAAATATATTTTCAATTTTGGACTAGGGGTGACCCTAGTCAAAATCAATTTTGTCACTTTTTTCTTCGAGGGTTTATCCAAATCGATTGAAACTTTGCATAAATATTTAAATGCTTAAAACAAATACAAATAAAACATCTTAAAATTTTTTTGAGCAAGGAACCAAGTAGGAAATACATTTTCAACTTTATAAATATTTTAGTGCTTAAAACAAATACAAATAAAACATCTTAAAATTTTTTTGAGCAAAGAACCAAGTAGGAAATACATTTTCAATTTTGGACTAGGGGTGACCCTAGTCAAAATCAATTTTGTCACTTTTTTCTTCGAGGGTTTATACAAATCGATTAAAACTTTGCATAAATATTCTAGTGCTTAAAACAAATACAAATAAAACATCTTAAAATTTTTTTGAGCAAGGAACCAAGTAGGAAATACATTTTCAACTTTATAAATATTTTAGTGCTTAAAACAAATACAAATAAAACATCTTAAAATTTTTTTGAGCAAAGAACCAAGAAGGAAATACATTTTCAATTTTGGACTAGGGGTGATCCTAGTCAAAATCAATTTTGTCACTTTTTTCTTCGAGGGTTTATCCAAATCGATTAAAACTTTGCATAAATATTCTAGTGCTTAAAACCAATACAAATAAAACATTCTAAAATTTTTTTGAGCAAAGAACCAAGTAGGAAATTCATTTTCAATTTTGGACTAGGGGCGACCCTAGTCAAAATCAATTTTGTCACTTTTTTCTTCGAGGGTTTATCCAAATCGATTGAAACTTTGAATAAATATTCCAGTGCTTAAAACAAATACAAATAAAACATTCTAAAATTTTTTTGAGCAAAGAACCAAGTAGGAAATACATTTTCTATTTTGGACTAGGGGCGACCCTAGTCAAAATCAATTTTGTCACTTTTTTCTTCGAGGGTTTATACAAATGGATTGAAACTTTGCATAAATATTCTAGTGCTTAAAACAAATACAAATAAAATATCCTAAAATTTTTTTGAGCAAAGAACCATGAAGGAAATACATTTTCAATTTTGGACTAGGGGTGACCCTAGTCAAAATCAATTTTGTCACTTTTTTCTTCGAGGGTCTGGTGCTTAAAACAAATACAAATAAAACATCTTAAAATTTTTTTGAGCAAAAAACCAAGAAGGAAATACATTTTCTATTTTGGACTAGGGGCGACCCTAGTCAAAATCAATTTTGTCACTTTTTTCTTCGAGGGTTTATACAAATGGATTGAAACTTTGCATAAATATTCCAGTGCTTAAAACAAATACAAATAAAACATTCTAAAATTTTTTTGAGCAAAGAACCAAGTAGGAAATACATTTTCTATTTTGGACTAGGGGCGACCCTAGTCAAAATCAATTTTGTCACTTTTTTCTTCGAGGGTTTATCCAAATCGATTAAAACTTTGCATAAATATTCTAGTGCTTAAAACCAATACAAATAAAACATTCTAAAATTTTTTTGAGCAAAGAACCAAGTAGGAAATACATTTTCTATTTTGGACTAGGGGCGACCCTAGTCAAAATCAATTTTGTCACTTTTTTCTTCGAGGGTTTATCCAAATCGATTGAAACTTTGCATAAATATTCCAGTGCTTAAAACAAATACAAATAAAACATTCTAAAATTTTTTTGAGCAAAGAACCAAGTAGGAAATACATTTTCTATTTTGGACTAGGGGCGACCCTAGTCAAAATCAATTTTGTCACTTTTTTCTTCGAGGGTTTATACAAATGGATTGAAACTTTGCATAAATATTCTAGTGCTTAAAACAAATACAAATAAAACATTCTAAAATTTTTTTGAGCAAAGAACCAAGTAGGAAATACATTTTCTATTTTGGACTAGGGGCGACCCTAGTCAAAATCAATTTTGTCACTTTTTTCTTCGAGGGTTTATACAAATGGATTGAAACTTTGCATAAATATTCTAGTGCTTAAAACAAATACAAATAAAATATCCTAAAATTTTTTTGAGCAAAGAACCATGAAGGAAATACATTTTCAATTTTGGACTAGGGGTGACCCTAGTCAAAATCAATTTTGTCACTTTTTTCTTCGAGGGTCTGGTGCTTAAAACAAATACAAATAAAACATCTTAAAATTTTTTTGAGCAAAAAACCAAGAAGGAAATACATTTTCAATTTTGGACTAGGGGTGATCCTAGTCAAAATCAATTTTGTCACTTTTTTCTTCGAGGGTTTATACAAATGGATTGAAACTTTGCATAAATATTCTAGTGCTTAAAACAAATACAAATAAAACATCCTAAAATTTTTTTGAGCAAAGAACCATGAAGGAAATACATTTTCAATTTTGGACTAGGGGTGACCCTAGTCAAAATCAATTTTGTCACTTTTTTCTTCGAGGGTCTGGTGCTTAAAACAAATACAAATAAAACATCTTAAAATTTTTTTGAGCCAAAAACCAAGAAGGAAATACATTTTCAATTTTGGGCTAGGGGCGACCCTAGTCAAAATCAATTTTGTCACTTTTTTCTTCGAGGGTTTATCCAAATGAATTGAAACTTTGCATAAATATTCTAATGCTTAAAACAAATACAAATAAAACATCCTAAAATTTTTTTGAGCAAAGAACCATGAAGGAAATACATTTTCAATTTTGGACTAGGGGTGACCCTAGTCAAAATCAATTTTGTCACTTTTTTCTTCGAGGGTCTGGTGCTTAAAACAAATACAAATAAAACATCTTAAAATTTTTTTGAGCAAAAAACCAAGAAGGAAATACATTTTCAATTTTGGGCTAGGGGCGACCCTAGTCAAAATCAATTTTGTCACTTTTTTCTTCGAGGGTTTATCCAAATGGATTAAAACTTTGCATAAATATTCAAGTGCTTAAAATAAATAGAAATAAAACATTTAAAAATTTTTTTGAGCAAAGAACCAAGTAGGAAATACATTTTCAATTTTGGACTAGGGGCGACCCTAGTCAAAATCAATTTTGTCACTTTTTTCTTCGAGGGTTTATCCAAATCGATTGAAACTTTGCATAAATATTTAAATGCTTGAAACAAATACAAATAAAACATCTTAAAATTTTTTTGAGCAAAGAACCAAGTAGGAAATACATTTTCAATTTTGGACTAGGGGCGACCCTAGTCAAAATCAATTTTGTCACTTTTTTCTTCGAGGGTTTATCCAAATCGATTGAAACTTTGCATAAATATTTAAATGCTTAAAACAAATACAAATAAAACATCTTAAAATTTTTTTGAGCAAAGAACCAAGTAGGAAATACATTTTCAATTTTGGACTAGGGGCGACCCTAGTCAAAATCAATTTTGTCACTTTTTTCTTCGAGGGTTTATCCAAATCGATTAAAACTTTGCATAAATATTCTAAAGCTTAAAACCAATACAAATAAAACATCTTAAAATTTTTTTTGAGCAAAGAACCAACTAGGGGACTAGGGGCGACCCTAGTCAAAATCAATTTTGTCACTTTTTTCTTCGAGGGTTTATACAAATCGATTAAAACTTTGCATAAATATTCTAGTGCTTAAAATAAATAGAAATAAAACATTAAAAATTTTTTTGAGCAAAGAACCAAGTAGGAAATACATTTTCAATTTTGGACTAGGGGCGACCCTAGTCAAAATCAATTTTGTCACTTTTTTCTTCGAGGGTTTATCCGAATCGATTGAAACTTTGCATAAATATTTTAGTGCTTAAAACAAATACAAATAAAACATCTTAAAATTTTTTTGAGCAAAGAACCAAGTAGGAAATACATTTTCTATTTTGGACTAGGGGCGACCCTAGTCAAAATCAATTTTGTCACTTGTTACTTCGAGGGTTTATCCAAATGGATTGAAACTTTGCATAAATATTCTAGTGCTTAAAACAAATACAAATAAAACATCTTAAAATTTTTTTGAGCTAAGATCCAAATAGGAAATACATTTTCAATTTTGGACTAGGGGCGACCCTAGTCAAAATCAATTTTGTCACTTTTTTCTTCGAGGGTTTATCCAAATCGATTAAAACTTTGCATAAATATTCTAGTGCTTAAAACCAATACAAACAAAACATTCTAAAATTTCTTTGAGCAAAGAACCAAGTAGGAAATTCATTTTCAATTTTGGACTAGGGGCGACCCTAGTCAAAATCAATTTTGTCACTTTTTCCTTCGAGGATTTATCCAAATGGATTGAAACTTTGCATAAATATTCTAGTGCTTAAAACAAATACAAATAAAACATCCTAAAATTTTTTTGAGCAAAAAACCAAGAAGGAAATACATTTTCAATTTTGGACTAGGGGTGATCCTAGTCAAAATCAATTTTGTCACTTTTTTCTTCGAGGGTTTATACAAATCGATTAAAACTTTGCATAAATATTCTAGTGCTTAAAACAAATACAAATAAAACATCTTAAAATTTTTTTGAGCTAAGATCCAAAAAGGAAATACATTTTCAATTTTGGACTAGGGGCGACCCTAGTCAAAATCAATTTTGTCACTTTTTTCTTCGAGGGTTTATCCAAATCGATTAAAACTTTGCATAAATATTCTAGTGCTTAAAACAAATACAAATAAAACATCTTAAAATTTTTTTGAGCAAAGAACCAACTAGGGGACTAGGGGAGACCCTAGTCAAAATCAATTTTGTCACTTTTTTCTTCGAGGGTTTATACAAATAGATTAAAACTTTGCAAAAATATTCTAGTGCTTAAAACAAATACAAATAAAACATTCCAAAATTTTTTTGAGCAAGGAACCAAGTAGGAAATACATTTTCAATTTCGGACTAGGGGCGACCCTAGTCAAAATCAATTTTGTCACTTTTTTCTTCGAGGGTTTATACAAATGGATTGAAACTTT